CTGCCAAGTGAGCTTGGTGTGCAGTTCCGACACTGCTACGCCGTGGCTGGTCAAGATGTTGTCCAGCCATGCTTGACATGCACCACCAGATCGGTGGTACAAGCACGGATGTCGATCGTTGTTCGGGACATGGTGCATGTCGATCCTGAGAGTGAACTGGCGCCACCACGGGATCGGTTCCGTCTTGGACTGATCGCAGAAGATGGGAATGTCATCCAGCTTGGGTGGGCGCCGGGAGGATGAGGCCGCGGGCGTTACGGTGGCAGCAGCCTGGACCTGCGTCTCCACCCAATGTGCGGTCTCATCGATGATCACGGTCTCCCGTGTGAACAGTCGTTCCCGCTGGCGTGACCGGTGTTCGGCTGCCGCCTGCAGGTCTGCCTCCTCTTGACGAAGTCGGTCCTGTTCCTCCTTCTGTCGCTTGGCCTCCTCCGCTTGTTCGATCTGACTGCGCTCCTTGGCCGCGGCGGCGGCCCTATCGGTGGCCTCCTGGATGAAAGCAGCCAGGCGTTCCTCATAGGCCAGGAGAGATTCTCCCGCCTTCCGGTCCTTGGCCTTGGTCTGTGATCGAGTGAGTGGTGGCATGCACTGACCTGCCCGAAGTCTGAAGAGTCACCCGAGGGCCAATCTGATGGACTGGCCCAGTAACCTGGACTGGAGGGGGAGGAACAGGTAGGCGGCAGACAGGTGGGAAGGATCGGACAGATCCAATATTGAACAGTTTCCTAATCAAAAAAGAGGAAAAAAAAAAAAAAATTTGATTAAGAAGAAATAAAGCAAAATTCGAAAAAGGACTGTCCAATCCCACCGAGTGCCGAAGGTGATGCAGAAAGCAATTGCGAACCTTCGGTGCTCAAACTGCAGGAAATCGGAAAAGAAGTATCTTTACAAACTCAGAGTAGGAGTAGGTGGCAAAAAGAAAAAAATGCCGTTTTTTTTTTTTTGAAAAAAAGAACGGAGTTTGCAGACCTACGCAGTGAAAGCGTAGAGGGACAGTTTCGGAAAAAAGAGTCACGAAATTATCAAAATGCAGACATTAATCAATTAAACAAGGTAAAAAATTTCGGGAAAAGAATTCTTAGAACGAAAAAAAAAAAAAATTCTCGGAAACCAAATTTCGCGGAAAAATAATTTTTCGGAAACGAATAAGAATCTCTCGAAGAATTTTCTCGGAAAATAGAAATAATTTCTCGAAAAAAAAAAAAATTCTCGGAAAAAGAAATAATTTCTCGGAAAAAATTTTCTCGGAAAAAAGAAATAATTTCTCGGAAAAAAAAATTCTCGGAAAAAAAAATAATTTCTCGGAAAAAAAGTTTCTCGGAAAAAGAAATAATTTTTCGGAAAAAAAAAATTCTCGGAAAAAGAAATAATTTCTCGGAAAAAAAAATAATTTCTCGG